AACATTCAGGAGAACGAAGTCGCCGACCTGAAATTCAAGCTCGGACCGGCGCCTGTCCGCATAACTCTTTTGTCGGCTCTGGGCGGTCAATAACCTCTGTCTAACCCGTTGTATCTGCTCGGTCGTCTGAATCACGATCTCTGTACTGCCCATCACTCTCTGCCCAACCTCACCCCAACAAATGGGAGTCCGACACCTCCTACCATACAACAGCTTAAAGGGCGGCATACCGATGCTCGAATGATGGCTGTTATTGTAGGAAAACTATGCCAAGGGTAAATACGTATCCCAGCTACCCCCAAAATCCAATACACATGCTCGAAGCATGTCCTCAAGCGTCTGAATCGTCCGCTCACACTGGCCGTCTGTCTGGGGATGATATGCGGTACTAAAATGCAGTTTAGTACCCAACTCCTCATGAAATTTCTTCTAGAATCGGGAAGTGAAGCGCACATCACGGTCCGAAACAATCGAGATCGGCACCCCATGCTGAGATACCACTTCTCTCACATAAACCTCCGCCAACTTCTCCGCCGAAGAACTCTCACTGATGGCAAGAAAGTGAGCACTCTTCGTCAACCTATCCACAATCACCCAAATTGCATCAACTCCTCTGGCAGTCCTCAGCAATTTGGTGATGAAATCCATAGTGATCTGTTCCCACTTCCACTCGGGAACCTCCAATGGCTGTAACTTGCCATGCGGTCTCTGGTGCTCGACCTTAACCCTTCGACAGGTCAAACACCTCTCGACAAACCATGCGACGTCCCTCTTCATACAAGGCCACCAATACTCTTTCCTCAAATCCAAATACATTTTCGTAGCCCCGGGATGGATCGAAAATTTCGATCTATGAGCTTCCTCCATCAATGTAGTACGCGTACCGCCCACAAACGGTACCCAAATCCGGCCCTGAAAAGTCATAAGCCCTCGACTATCCGAAACAAACTCTGAAACCAAACCAACGACCCGTTCTCTCTTCTGCATCTCCGGATGCATAGCCTCGGCCCGTGCCCCACGAATGGCGTCCAGAACTGGAGCTATCACGGTCAATCTCAAACGAATGGCTTCAACTGCCTCGATGCATATGCTATCA